TGATTCGCTTTGCTTCCGTAGCCGTGTTCTTGACTTTGCTGTGGTCTTGGCGCACCAAATTGGCTTCGTTGCTCATACTGGCGTCTTCTTTCAATGTTGCCGTTCTTCTACTTTCAAACTGGATTGCTAGCTCAAATAACTTTTCCAGTGTAGTCGGATTCCTTAATTCAATAAAGTCTTGTACTTGGGGAAGTAACCTTGGCAAAATCACTTGAATTATCTCAGGATCCGGACGGTTTCCATACAAGAGTTTGAAGACGTGAATTTTTCTTAAAATAAAGCTTGAGAGATTTTCAATTGCTTTCTCGTATATGCTGAAAAGTTCCGCTTCTAATCTTGCACGATCTCTTACGACAAGGAAGGCTTTTACTAAGGCGGTCTTAAAATTTTCGTAAGTATAGGTGGGACTTCCCGCTTGACCCAAGAGGCTTCTGCCTATACATTTGAACCAATTAAGCGCTTGGCCCCTCAAAGCGCTGGTAGCTAAGGTGACTTTCTGGAACTCATGCACTGGATACAGCATGAAGTGGTCATCCAATTTTTCCAAAAAACTGGTTACCGGTGAGTTTCCATTAAATATTGCTTCTGGTTTCAACGATGGGCGCATGGTCTGGACGATGTAACCAAATCCTTCCAGGGCGGCAGCTGGCATTTCTGGATTCTGAGCCGCTTCTGCAGGCAGCACAGGTTCTTCTTGAAACTCGGCCATGGTTATTCTTCTTCGTTGGGCGCCACTATCAGGTTCTGCATTCCTCCTTACTTGCTATGGGAACATTAAATGTCCTGACTGGGAAGAGGGAGCTTACTAAAGCTATGTTCAATAAATTTGGGAAGTAGACAATACACACAGGAAGGGTATACGAAACCCTTTATTTTTCTCTCTTTACGATGATTTCCGGACTTCGGAATACAGAGACCAACCACTTGTGGTCTGAACGTAAGAATATAAAAATATTAACTAAACTCTAACTAAACTTAACTTTGGATTAATCAAACAAGTGCCTACTCCAAGATTGGCCGTATATTAGCAAAAAGCCGTATGTAGTACAGAGAACTGCTAACACTACGATACGTTTAAAATTATCAAGAGGATTAAACCTCTGGCCTTGAAGGCAACCAGCAACCGAGTAAAACTACTATGGCAAGCGGCCTGCTTCTAATAGCTCCTTACTCTCTCTTGCTTGGCAAAAAGCCACAACTTAAGTACTTGGCGTTCGCAAGACAAATTTGCATAAATAAGTTAAAGCTTTTAGTTCTGGCCGGAAGTAGAAAATAAGAAGTGATAGTAAAGATTTAACATAAAGTAAACGTTAGTAAAACTTAACATCCTTACAATATTTAAAATCAAGTTTTCTTAGAATTTGTGTTATTTCAACCTTAAATCATTATTACATTCATAAAATATATACGATATGTAAATTATTTCACAATTTGCGAATCGGAACAAAAAACTATGAATTGCAGTAAAGCTAATTTCAAGTGTTTAACAGTTTTTAGAATAATAAACTTTATTTCAAGCATCACAAAATTAAAAATAGAAACAAACCAAAAAAAAAAAAAAAAAAAAAAAACTATTGGAAGCTCATCATGTGAAATACAACACCATATTGTCAAAACTACTGACAGAAATAGGAGACTGGATGCTTCTGTGCTTCGTTCGCGGAATTCGAATCTCGGACCGAACTACCAGTGTTCAGCGACTTTACCGCTCGGCCGCTGCTGGCCACGAAACTATACTTTGATTCAGATATAATGAACTTTTGAGTTTTAGTTTCATGAGAGTTTTAGTTTTCCATTTATCCTTTCTTTCACTTAATTTTTGTAAATATGTATTTATGTTCGATGTTGCACATCCTATCTAGTTTTCTAAACGGGCGTCACTTAATGAAGCGCGAGATGAATTCGTAAACTTCATCTTAAAAAAAAAAAAAATGTTTCCCGAGCATATGTGGATTCATAAGCACTTTCAATGGGTTCTACCAAATATTTGAAGTTGGAATATCTTCTACATGTAATATAAGTATTGTAAAAATTAATTTTTGGAAGCAAAAATTTATTTCATTTCATTGTTGCATTGTAACTCAATTAACTCCTTTGCATATTTTCAGGAACATTGTTCGCGTAATGCATGAAAATATTTCAAGCATTTTATCATAGTTTGCTAATTCTTCAACAAAGATTATCAAATGCTATTGTAAAAATCTTTATTTCATTAGCATATTTCGAGAAATTATTAGGTTTGTTTCTTGGGAAATTATTTAAGAGCCGAAAACGTTGAGCATTCTAAATTGGCACTCAAATACACTAATTTTTTATTAAAAGCTTTATGAAACTACAAGCATCGATTGTTAAATTATGCTTCCTTAGAAAGTCCTTATTTAGGTGATCAAGCTTTTCTTTTATATCTACTAAAAACATACGTCTAACAATTAATTATTATCAATTAATTCAGGAACAGTTTCTTGTTTCTCGTTCAAAAACAAATCTATTTTCTTCCCTAAATTAAAAAAATCTTTATAAGCATTTTCCACGATTTTGCCATCTAACATTGGTAAAATATATATAATATCACTATATATGTACATTATACAATATATAATATATATATATATTCAGAAGATAAATTGCTAAGAAATTCTTTAAATTGCCGATGCTGAAGAGAATGTGACGAATGTAATTTAATGTTCTTATAAATATTTTCATAACGTGATTCATGGATAATACCCGAGCACATAAATTTTGTTGATGTGTAAACAGTGAATAATAAAAATATCATCGGTTGTAATGTTTCTGCGATTTAGCTAATCCATAAGTAATTTTATAGTTCTTTTATTTTTACCCACAAAAGTAGAAGCTCCATTTCTTATTAATCCTGAAAAGGTCTCAAATTTAAGCTATTTTCGGTTAAACATTTTACAATCGCCTGGAAATATTTTATCCTTATATCTTTTAAATTTAATAGATTTAACATTTTTTTCTGTCACTTGAAATGAATCATTTTCACTGCGAATAAATATTATAAGTTGTGATTTGTTTAAGATACCTGTTCTTTCATGAAATTGCCAAAGAATATGCTTTGAATTGACTAACTTTATCTTGCAAAGTTACTATGGTTTCAGCTGAAAGTCATCAATACGACAACATGCAATTTATCGTGAAGGATTGATACTTGAAAATAATTCGCTTTGATCGGGCAAAACATCTTTTATAACTGCTTCCAAACAGTCCTTTAACAATTCGCAATCCGAAAATGTTTTCATTTTCTTTGCAATCAATATGGCAACAGAATAATTTGCTTTGACATTGGTAGATGGTTGTTGTAATAATGGTTTCGTTTAGTTTATTATGGAAAAGTGCACTAGGGCTCCTACCCTAAGGGATACCTTCATGGAGGACTTTCTAAGGAAACTGGCTCGTATACACGTTACATATGAGGAAAACTACGAAAACGTCCATGCAACCAGGTCGTTCGCCTGGATTCGAACCAGATCAGAACTGCCAGTATTCAACGATTTTACCGCTGGGTCGCAGCTGAGCTCTGTTGAAATAACGAGTCAAACATCAAACATCTTCTTCAGCTTTCAGATTTGGTCCGGTCCCTATAAATGTAACTGATATTGTAATTAAATAACTGTAAATTCATTCCTATATGTAACTGTATCCGTATCCAGCCCTCATATACTGTCCAGTAATTTCGAGAAATGGAAAGTACTAGAAATTTCTCAGCGGCCGGGGAAAACTATATAAACACAGAGAGAGCATCAATTCTCAGTTTTCAGTTCAGAGTATTGAGATCTTTGTGCGAGCTTCGCTCGTTAGATGTGCTTTGCATTCCTCTGTGTTTAACTTTCTTAGTAGTTTAAAGTGTAACTACTGTACGAGTTTTTTTTTTTTTTTTTTTTTTTTGACAATTTCCAGAACTGTAAAGTGTTACTCTTGGTTAAAATAAATTTTATCGAGCTGCCATCAGTTCTGTGTATATTCAGTCTATTATGAATCCATAAGCACGCAAAAATATGCTTCTGAAGTGCGTCGTAACGTGAAAAAGATTAGGAAGCACTGATGTACACCATTAAGATGTATGTGGCCGTTGTTTTTTTGGATATGACTTCTGTCACCAAAAAACGCGTTGCACTGAATTTGCGAGTTACAAATCCATGAATTAACAGGCTAAACGTCTGTAAAGACTTATAAGGGGATGTCAGAATAACGAATATGGGTAATACAAATGACGTGAGTAAATTTGCAAGTTTTGGGGGTTAAGTAGAGTTTACCTCTTCAGTTGCCCGAGAGAAAATGATGAAACTCTGACACATTTCTAAAAGAGGATAATAGAGGAAAATTTGAGACTATTCTAGCTAAAGGACAGTGGCTTCGTAAGAGTCATAGTTTCATGAAGGGTTTTTTGAATATCTTCCATAATGGCCATAGTCTGGTAAGAAATTTCTGAATATCAGCAATGATGTCTGCTGTTAAAATGGACCTATTCCCGTCATGTTCTACGTTCACTACAGACCTAACTTCGTGAAACATCCTTTACCAGATTTCAAACAGGCCGATGCTTTCTTTCCCGACTTTCTGAAAAGTTATGCACTGAATTGAAACTGAACGTTTAAGTCTTCTTGAAATAATATTCCACTAGAAAAATGTTTTTTTTAACACTGAACTCACATGGTTTTAATTCACAGTCATGTAATAAAAAATGCGCCATGTTCAACATCTGCTTTTCGGAAATTATTCATGAAATCAAAATTAACTTTTCCCCCACAAACCACGTACTTTATATTAACTTATTGCAGATATTTCTTTAATATAATAAAATGTGCCCAAAACTATGTGCTCTTAAACAAGCGGTTCATTTTAGAATTGAACACGTTTTACACTACAATTTTCTGGATATAAGAAATATATTTATGTAAAATATAAGTTTTTGTGTTCTACAGTATGTATGAAGCTGAAAACAAGTAGTTTAAAATAAAATATTGCACTTATTTATTAAGGTTCGAAGTATATCGCAACTAAAAAATGAATTTCAAGATGTCGACACTTTCTTCCTTGATGAGACAAGCGATGATTTGAGTATAGCGGGTAAGTGTATTTATATTTTATGCATGACATTTTTATATTTATTTTTTTACTCCACATACTGAGCGATATTGGGATAAACTTGCTTAAATATCTGAATGTTTGGAGTGTTTTTTCAATTGCTTCTTCCTGTTAGAAAGCAATAAATGTTACTTATATGAACAGCTTTTACGCATGCAAATTAAGGCATGAGGTATCAGGTTTTGTAATTGAGACCACCGCAATCACAACCTCTCCCTTTTCCAAATTACAGGTTTCTGAGGAATATTTCTTTTTTATTTCTCTTTTTTATAAACTTAGGTCTGACAGTGCTTGTGTATTGGCCTGTACTTGCGGATATATCGCCAAAAATACAAGCACTCACTTTAAAACTTTTAAGCGTTCTGCAACCCTAAAAGCCGTTTCGAATGCCTCAACTAATATATTACTTTCTACGTTCTTCTTCTTTCCCCCTTTTTTGGTAATAATATATATTTTGGGGGAGGGCTAAGGAAGGATTGGGGATGGCTTTATTTTGCAATTGGCAACTTCAAAGCAACTGCAGCAAATTATTGTTTGGGAAAACTTCCCCTTCTGAAAAAATGTTCTCGTGATAGTGGTTACTCATGTCGTATTAATTTATACTGAATTTAGCATCATACGTTTGCTAAATTTGCGAAAACATTAATCGGATGGAATCCACTATTCTCAAGCATGTTGTATTCCACCAAATAAAAGGGCAGTTGTCAAGGACTGTACATACATGACAGAAGATATACGATGGAAACGCAATACCATCAACAGTCAGCAAAATGATAGAATAAAAACTAGGAGTTGATTCAATAAAAGTCAGCTGCCTTTGTATTTAATAGATTTCATATGAAGGCAGGGATAGCTGTGGTGTACGACCGTCTGATGCGAATTTGAAGCATTAGGCATAAAACCCACAAAGCATATGACTGCCAAACAATACGAGCTGAAAATAAAGGTGCCCCTTTAACTGATCTATTAACATCGAAAATAAATATCATCGCCAGAAGGTGTCAGTGGATTGTCAGTGGAGTATTGGCAGTAACGGCTAATACCCAAGTTGAACGCATATTTCAGTAAACGCTGAGCAAAATTCACAGAGAGTGTACCGCGATTGAAAGAGATACTGTCTTCGTTCTGATGAATATTCAGAACTTTATAACTAATGGATTTTGGTTAAGAGCCAATGATTATATGCGCCGATCACGCTGTAACCATTCGTCTTTATTCCAGGAAAACCTGAGCGCCAAAATTAGTTAATTGAACATTAAAACTGCAAGATTATAACATTCAACGCATTTCCGTTATTATATACACTTATATAAATATTTGTATTTTTGAGACCCTGCAAAGTTTACCTATTTATCTCGTACGGTTATTTTATCTTTAGTTATAGTACAAAATGCAGCTTAAAAAATTCTTTTAGTTTATTTTTACCTCTAGTCTAATGTACCGGAAGTTTAGACAGACATAGATGAATAGCTAATTAGGCTTAGCCTTACAGTTTTAATGAAGATACTAATTTGTTTTAAATTGGTTTTAAAAAATTTTAGAAACCGCCACCTGTTTTCTCCTCCAACAACTTACCACTATCTAAATAATTTAAAAGATGATCTAGTTTATTTCTAAAAAAATCCATTATTAAGCTTTAGAATGAACTGTGATTTTCAGTTGAAAATACCGGCAAATTTCTGATTGAGGGAGGCGCATGTCAATCCTGCTTTACAAGATAGGTTCCTCTTATTTCAGAGACAGTCTGTACATTTTACCATTTTTGACTTCTACCGGATGTTGGTTCTATATAAGCTTATAATTGTTGCTGCTGCTGAAAGATAATTTTTTATCTTTTCCATGCATTTAGCCTTAAATTCTCATAAATCGAATAATTCGATTTATCTGATTATTATCTGCAGGTGATCCTTCAATCATCATTACTTTTCAAATAACCGGATGGGCGGTATTTGGAGTCTGAGCTTGACTGAGTGTAAGTTTCCTTTAATTGATGCTTCATTCCATTTTTATAGATGAGAAAAGACTACATTATTCCCCAAATCGATGGAAACCTCCTGAAAGCAAATCAGCTGTTTCTACCAGAAGAAGCGAAATCCCTGTCCGGAAAACAGAAATCAGAACATCTCGATTGCATTTGGATTGGATGTATCCTTTAGATTTGCTTCAAAGTACTTCAAAAATGCGTTGCAGAATATCAAAGAATATGTTTGGGCAATGCGTTTCAGAAATGCAGAATTCAGAAACGCGTTTGCACGACATCTTCAAAACAAATGGACTAGCACAAATCTTCGAAAATCAGTTTCAAAGAGCATTTAAAGTAAACAATCATGCATATCAGTGATTCAGCTTAAAGGTATGTAAAATATGGCACTAGAATCATCTTTTATGTTTTCAGTGCTTCAAATACTCATAAAAGTTATAAGTTGGGTATACATTAATATTAAGTGTCTCTTAATGTACATTAATTAGAGTATAATTAAAAAATAAACTAACGACTTCAATTATTAAGAAGTTTCTATAAATAGCGTGGAGGTTAAGCAATTACAGGCTGTTAAATATGAAAGGTAACTTCAAGGTTAAATGATTTGCCGAATGGAAATATTTTGAGAACTAGCTTTTTTGCGAAGCCACGTAGGTTATAAATTAATAAGTTTATGCTCTGTGAAGTGTTAATAGCTAGCAAGTCTTATGGGTCTTATGGGTGATAATGAGAGGCAGATAGTTAAATGCCCCCAAATTTTAAAAAAGTTCTGCTAATCGCGGAAGTGATAAATGCATGGTAACGTACATAATGAATTTAATATTTCAAAAATTCGCTAAGGGCATTAGAATGTCAGAATTAAGATAAAAGCTTAAAAGATATTAATAACATTCTTCTGTTCTTTCTTAATGTGGGATTCATCCCTTAACGACAAAGTCATGGTTATAGCGGAGGAGAGTTAATAGTACTCGATAGTGGTGAGCTCGTGTATGCAGTCGGTGCAGCTGTTGTCTTGTACAGAAGAACAGACGATTCTCAAAGGCACTACTTGGACCACACAGAAGATGTTTGCAGGTATGTTAATAGCAGTTATAAATTATTAGAATCTTGTGTATATGAGATGAATAATATCGAAACACCAAAATCTTTCCTTCAATAGCTATGTTTCAGAATTTCTGACAAATAAGTTCCCTTTTTGCGATTAGTAAGACAAAAATATTTTGATACTGAAATAATTACTATTGATCGCAATGGTACATTCTTATAATAAATTTAGAAAATAAGCATAGTTGTAGAAAACACAATTATGCTTAGCTAAACAAAAATCAACTTCGAATTCAAAGAAAAGTCTATCAGTTTCAGAAAAGCCAAACACAAAGTCCCTATTCTTCAAAAATTAAGCGTATTCTGCGTTGAAGAAGGAGATAAAAATTTAAGTATATAGTCGAAAGCAACCGAACAAATTTAGCGTCATTTTTTGGACAAAATAAAGAACTAAAAAATCAAATTATTAAAATCTTAAAAGTTATAAGGTATTTTCTCCTTCCTTTCCGCATGTCTGCATGGTGTAATTGGAAGTATACGCGACGCCTATTCAAGATATTCAGGGTTCGAGTAACGGTGAGGGCACTGTACATATTTCCTTCTCCTGCATCAAAAGTCCTAATGACTTTACAATTGGCGCCCAAACTAAAAAAGCGGTGGACGATAATTCGTCACCACTAGGATTTACCAACTAGTCTCCTATAGGGCTGAGTCCCAATTGAATCCCTTTTATAGGGCAACTGGGGACAGCATACTTGATGCGCATTCGAGAGGTCCAGAGTTCGAGACCCGGAGAGAGCATTGCACATTTTTCTCCTCTATTGCTTAAAAATAACCTGATGACTCTACAAAGTTTTGGATAAAATTGAGTTGGTATCAATATTATTAATAAAGAAAACATAAATTTGTGAAACCGGTAAGCATCAATGAAAGATAATTAACTAAATGAAGACTTTTGTAATCAAATTTCGAGACACTAGTTCATTAAGCATTCGTCGATAATAGTTAAGCCCTTTCACTAGGCCATATGCTTTGCGAGAACGTTTCCCAGAGCACATATAAAAGAGGGTGACCAATATTAAACCCGCCAGAAAAAGGATAGTTTGCAAACATCAATTCCTTCTCCGGCACTGAAACCTAGACCTGATGATACGGCTGCTGACTTCCTTAACCATTATGCCAAACAGGGTGTAATGAAATAGTATTTTTTAAATAATTTTAGCGAAACCTAAAGTAAAAAATGTAATTAAAAGACGAATAATCATTATCTGTTGATTATTTAAATTTTTTTGCGGACGTAGAACTCACATTCTATTATGCGGAAATATAACGTTGTATTAGTTTGGTTATATATCTTAAACTACTAATAAAGAATGTTTTAAATTCCTTAAAATTAAAATCTGAAATCGGTCACTTAAGGACTAAGCAACAAATCTGATTGATGAAATAGAGGATCATTTGAAAGCTGACCTTGTATTGAAACACAACAATTTTGCAATCAACTCGCTGCTTGGATCGCAGGGACCTGGTAGTTAAGTCGGTCGAAATCGTTAGCGCTTTCGATTAAATTTCTTACTCCAGCTTAAATTTGAATTTTCACATTTTATCTTTGACATCTATGCATGTATTATTGTTGTATATCTATTAACTTATTCTGAAATAAAACAGTACCTATGAAACCGATGGGTATTGTGTATAATTTATATTTCATTTACTACGATATATATCTTAGAAATACTGTATTAGGTACCATTGAGAAATAAATTGCTTAAATTTATAGAAAAATGAATTGTTTAAACAGAAAAAGCACCAGTATATTTCTTAAGGTTTTAATCGCTGGCTAGTTAAAAATCTGTTATAATAATTAGTTAAATAAGCGCCATAAAATATAGTTATCTATGGAGGAAAAAATTTAAGTTAATGTGAATTGAAAATATAATTGTCATGATGATTAAGGACGAGAATGAAGCTGTCATACAACTTGAAAAGTCGGATATCTTCCATGTGCATATCCCAAATAAATTTAAAGGCAGTTTTATTTTTGAATATAAATGGATTTCCTTCTATTCTTGTAGAATGTGATACACTGGTTTTAAAGGTGGCGCATGAAAAAAATTACGACGGTATTCGAACATGAAAGAGATTTATGGTGATATTCAAACGTAGCTTTAAAATGTTCACTACAATGAAAAAGAATGTGCTTATCTAAAAGAATGGAATTAATAGTAGAACTCCAAGTTTGCTTCACTCCAAAAAAATGCTTTTAAAATTAATGGGAATGGTTGAGTGATGAATAACAACCACAATCAACTCTCAGTTGGCTGGGCTAATACCGGCAACAATGTCTGAAATTAATTCAAAATCATAGTTAATCCGAAGTCAGTAAAAACACAAAATAACAGGATAACCCGTACTGTAGATAATAGAAAACTTTTACTAACAATTTATTTGCATTTTCAAATAGTTCGGTTTGGAGAACAATTGCATTTGATCACTCAAATTAAATACACATTCAAAACAAAAAGGCTAAATAAATAGCGGAGGCATAAGTATAATTATTTATAACCTTAATTAATAAAATAGGCTGTAAATTACATTAACGAAGGAAATTTATAGGAAGACTTGAACAATGTTCTAAAACAATCGGTTAGAACCTTTCGCAGAATTCATCTGACAGACTCCAACTGTTGTCACTGTTGTTATTCAACGCATTTTCTAATTGTTATTATATTTTATTTAGTCAGTCTTGTTTTACGCTGATAGTTTGTGACAGAGTTAGGCTGATAGTTTGTAACAGGGTTAATAAACTTAAGTTTATTTTAAAGAGGACCAATAAGTTAATGTCATTTAGGAGAAAGGGGAAAATATTCTATCAGGAATTATTGCCTACTCCCTTCGTGCTGTCATGGTTAAACTGATAGGACATTTATTTGACAATCGGAAGATCTGAAGCTCCAATCTCGACGAGGGCGTAGCTGATTTCTCATACTTCCTGGCTCAATTAAATAAAAATATTAACTAAACTAAAATAAAAACCCTAATATCTCTATAAGTTTACGTGAAGATACTGCCTCTGGCTTTAGTTGGCAAGAGAAAGATTCATTTGCCTTAGTGAATAGTAAATTAGCAACTGAAAACAAAGGTTTCAGAAGTTTTAATGTCAGAAAATTTTCTGCTCTGCGAGCCAGCAGCCTGTAAAACCTCTTGCTTAGCAGCAAGAGTATTGTTGCAGTGAAAGTAACACTAAAGGGGCAGTTGCCCAGAAACGAAGAAGGGGAGAAAAATTGGAATTAAGTTAATTTTTGACAACAAGTGGACAGATTAAGCGAGCTATCTTTTATATTTATTTTTAGTCCAAAGGGGTTTTACCCCTGAAGGACTATTGTTTTCGTTTTGCGATTTTGCATCGAATCACTCTGAATGTCCGTTTCACTTTCCAAATGTTGCACCAATATCGCCTGTATATTTTGAAGAAATTAAAGAATGAAGAATCTCCATAAATGTAAGTATGTTTCTCGCATTGTGATAAAACAACGGTACCTAGAGCCATCCAATTTGGAATGACGTAAAACCCTCCTGCGAATATGGGCATGTGGAAGACCAAATTTGAAATTTGGAATTTGTTTTATTATCGATTTCCTATTTTGTAAATTTTTAACGAATTTTTTATTAACAAACTCAAGGAATTCAAAGCGAGCAATGGCAACGTTGTACAGAAAACACACTTTTATCTCCAGCGCGTGAGACTGTGTATCAGAAATTCTAAAGATACGCTCAATTTAAAATTATTTTGCGATATTGCTCTTGAACTGAATTTTATGGTTTAAGTGCGAAGAACATGATATTTAATGAATAAAAGTAACACACAATATGTTAAAAGAACACCCCTTTGGACGTAATTTAAAATCTGAAACCTTTCGGATTTTTTTATCTTTTTAAAGTTAAGTTTGTTTATTGTTAAATGATGTAAAAATTGTAGCCGCAAACCATTCAGAGTAAAACAAAACATCACGGAAAATGCACAAATGAAAGGAAATATCAGCGTCGGTTATAGCATGTATATCAGATGTTGTCATAGTATTTGAGAGCTGTTATTACTGACAACATTACTTAATTTAACTGTACGTTATTTGGAATATATAATCACTTGGTAAAAGAATATAGAAGTCATCTGTTAAAAGTTAATTTTTCAGTTTGGTATATCGATAGTAATATATGTATAATTGCTTTCGAAGGGGATAAGACGGTTTACAGAAGAAACTTCTAAGTTATGAAAGTAGTCTCCGCTAAAAAAAGTTTCAGATACGCTCTTCTAGGGTATAAACGTTGTAAGGATCTTAAGTTTTACTAACGTTTATTTTATTTTTAAATCTTTACTATCACTTCTTATTTTCTACTTCCGGCCAGAATTATAGCGTTAAGGATTTTATGCAAAGTTTGTCTGCGAACGCCAAGTATTTAAGTGTGGCCTTTTTTGCCAAGCAGAAGACAGGAAGCAGTGGTTCGAAGCAGGCCGCTACCTTAGAAGTTACGCAGTTGCTATTGCTTCCAGGCCAGAGTTTTATCCTCTTGAAAATTAACGTATTGTAGTGTTCACAGTCTGTGCTACATACGCTTCCTGTTATTATAAGGCCAATCTTAACGTGTATCTTTAAAGTAAATAGAGTTTAGTTTATTGTCTTTACGTTAGACCCCGAGTGGAGGTCAGTGTATTCCGAAGTACGGAAGTCATTGTAGATAAAAAATAAAGGGTTTTGTATACCCTTCGTCTGTATCCCTGTCTACTTACTACAATTAGTGAACATAGCTTTAGTAAGCTCTCTGTTCTAGTCAGGTCATTATATGTTTCCGAAGAAGGTTAGAAGAAACTTGAACTGATAGTGGCGCCCAACGTAGAAGAATAACCATGGCCGAGTTTCAAGAAGACCTGTGCTGCCTGCAGAAACGGCTCAGAATCCAGAAATGCCAGCTGCCGCCCTGGAAGGATTGGGTACATCGTCCAGACCATGCGCGCTTCGATGAAACCAGAA